CTATTCACACAAAAGTTCGTCAACTCCCCCCTCCCCTTCGGTCGCCAAAGTTATCAGGACAGGGGTAAATAAGTTATCGGGTCTGCAAATGTGTGAGTTATCATGCTATTCACAAAAAAATTACCGGAGGATATTTGATCAACTCCTCGAAGAAAAAAGAAAAAAGGAATCAACAGGGAATGGTCAAAAAGTATGATGTGCATTCTTTTGCACATCGAATAGTCTAGCTGAGCCGGTTAGTGTGTGTTTCACATTAGTATGAAATCCAAACAACTCCCTCCCTACATTAGTATCAAAAAATATGTTTTCAAACAACTCCCTCCCTACGATCAAAGTTATCACGGTGTTTGTACATGAGTTATCAAGTCCACGGTGCGTACGAAGTTATCAGGAGAGGGGGGGGGGTATGTTTTCAAACAACTTCCTCCCCTCCCACCACCCCTGGACCAATGTTACCATGGTATTTACGCGCAAGTTATTACATATACGGTGCATACAGTACCACACTATTTAAACGGAAGTTATCAGTGATGTTTTTAAACAGCTCCTCCCCGGGTCAAAGTTATCACGTTGTTTGCGCATGAGTTATCAGGTTTGTGGTGTGTGAAATATCATGCTATTTACGCAGAAGTTGTAGCCTGTAGGAGGATGTCTTCAACTTTTTCTCCTGAGTCAAAGTTATCACCGTGTTTGTGCATGAGTTATCAGGTTTATGGTGTGTAAAATATCATACTATTTACGCAGAAGTTGTAGGGGATGTCTTCAAATTTTTCTCCTGGGTCAAAGTTATCACCGTGTTTGTGCATGAGTTATAAGGTTTATGGTGTGTAAATTATCATGCTATTTACGCAGAAGTCGTAGGGGATGTCTTCAACTTTTTCTCCCTGAGTCAAAGTTATCACCATGTTTGTGCATGAGTTATCAGGTTTATGGTATGTAAATTATCATGCTATTTACACATAAGTTATAGGGGATGTCTTCAACTTTTTGTCCTGGATCAAAGTTATCAAGTTTATGGTGTGTAAATTATCATGCTATTTATGCACAAGTTATTGAAGGGTGTATTATCTCACATGTAGCTCGATAACTACAAAAATTAACCATGTTGATAATTATATTACATCTAACCCAATATCTGCATAGTAACCATGTTGGTAACTATAATACATCTAGTCCGATAACTACAAAATAACCTTGTTGGTTACTATTACGCATAGTAGCTATGTTGTGAGATGGTGCAGCCACTCTTCAAAATTTTGGTGCGGGAGAGGACGGGCCGTGGACACTCCCAATCTACTCAATTCCTCCCAAATCAAGTACACGCTGAAGCATTGTTTTCATAATTGATTGAACATTCTTTTCCTTGATCTAAGATTATTTCGTATGAATCCTTCTCATCACCTGATTACAGAAAAATAAAAAATAAAAAAAATCTCCTGAGTCAAAGTAACCGCGGTATTTATACTAGTTTGTTATGACTATGTCAATTAAATTACCATGCGTTTTACATCAAAATTACTGAGGGTATGTTTCAACAATTTTGCTTGGATCAACATTTGTGTAGGTACAAAGCCTCGACGATAGCTTTAAATTTCAGAATTGACTAAGGTAGATGCTTCGCTCTGTTTTTAGCAAGATTAAATCTGAAGACATTTGTTGTCTGTATAGCATACAATTGAAATGTGTAGTTTCTATGTGCATCAAATGTTGTGGTAGCGTAGTGGCCAGTGCCTCTTTGTCTCACGTAGTTGACATGGGTTCGAATCCTGTCATTAACATCCTTTTTTTACTGTTAAAACAATACAACGGCAAGAGAGAAAATGGGCTACCTCGCCCAAAAATCACGGCGACCTCCCACTAAACGCTTCCTGCGAAAATCGCGGCGACCTCCCACTAAACGTGGTCAACGCCCACCGGTCCCGCCGCGCAAATCACCAACTAATTAATAGCCATGCGATCACGATCTCGGATCTGTCGCCCTG